CTCTTTAATCAGTGCATAATCGTTTTCTAAGTTTTCTGCCACATGTTTCCCTGTTTTACCGATGCAGCAAGCGTGAGATATTTTAGCAATCTATGCCTTTCAAGATTTCCTCAATCCATTGTCTCCGTTTCAACATTCAGTCGATGTAGATTCGTCCTCATTTCCGCAGATTGACTGTATGATAAAAAAGTCATGCACAGCTTTCGCAGATTAATCTCGATTACGGTTAACCAATCCTTCCCTCTGAATTTATATTCGGAGTACTCTGTGTAGTATAACTTTAAGGACAGGGAGTTATGAGTGTCCTTTTCATCTTAATCGACCGTTTCACGATTTTTGACAGCCCCATTTGACTAGCCGCTAGAGTGATCATGAACACTGTTCGGCGCTGCACCTCGCATCTCGCCATATGAATATTTGAGACAGGTTGATCGAGAATGGTCGTCACATTGACTAGTCGCTTTTCCTCGTGATATTTCTTTAGAAAATTTGAAATTACTCTAAACATACCATGACTTCCGGGATATCACTGAGTTGCTGTGTGCCACGCGGCTGATTACGAATTCTCTCACCCTCTCCTTCATCAGCACGCTTATAGCTTCAGGTGGTTATGCAAAACGCATTTTAGCTTCAGAACTTAAATTACAACCCCAGTTGTTCACTTTAAACGTTCCTAACGCTTATAGCGATTCAGTGTGGCAACTTGGAATGGTCGAAGAAACCTTGAAGAATATCGTTCGTTGGTCATTGAACCAGATAAAATTTATATGCAACGTTTTAGGTAAATGGCCAGTGGGATTCGGGCGACCTCGAAGGAACATCCTCAGTGTTTGGATTGGCCGGACACGGCTGTGGGCGGAACGCTTCACTGAAAGCGGACGACGTTGTTGCGTTCATCACCTTTCCTGTATGAGCAGTGGACGACGAAGAATGATAATGACCAAAACATCACTAGGGCAATAGCTGGAAACGGAAGACTGATAAACATTATCACTCAGGACAGCCACCGTAATTTCAACGGAAATGGAATAGCGTCCATGGAAGGGATGGACACTCGTCATGTCGTAATTGAGGTGGCATCGACCTGGAGTCCGAGGTTCAGGCTCGGCCTTCGTTGTCCAGTGAAAGCCACTAGCAATGGATCTGCAGGAAGAGAAAAAATCTACTTTGGAGTTATTGCCTCAGTAATGTTTTGGTAATTACCATATTGTTCATCGCCTTTGCTGATCGAACAGTGGACGACGAACAACAGTATGATGTTTACCAAAACATTACTAGGGCAATAACTCCAAAGTAGATTTTTTTCTGCAGATCCACTCGCTGGTGGCTTCCACTGGACAACGAAGGCCGAGCATGCACTTCCGGCACCCAATCGATGCCAGTTTGATTGAGGCATGACGAGTGCCTATTCAGTCTATGGATGCTATTCATCTCCACTGAGATTCCGGTGGCTATCCTGCATGGTATATTTCTCAGTCTTTCATTTCCAGCTGTAGGCAAATTTGGTGGTCTGGGGAAATTAACCAGTTATGAACTTATCAATCGGTTCAGTGGTGAAGTAAGAGGTCAGAGTTATCCTTAGAAAAGTTTAACTCTTCTTGACTTTTAAGGTCAGTCCAAACGACCTGATGCTTTAACTGTGTGTGTGGACAGGGTAAAAGTTGAGTTGTAACGAAATTCAAATACAGCGGTAGAAAACGGAATAAAGAAGGCAACAAAATCTTTTCTACATTTAACGGCCAAACAGCTCTTCAAAGTTTATCAACAAAATTGCTCCAATGGAAAAGGAGCACATTTCCTTCGTCTGTTCTCAGAATTTATTGATTGCAAAATAACATTTGACGAAGGCAACAGCTCCCTCTTAAGATTGAATATCTTCTAACCCCCCCCCCATCATCTACTTCACGTGCTTTGTCTCACGAGAACGTAAATCAAGTAGGAAGTCACGCTTTGTGTTGTAAAGTTTTGAGGAAGTGATGTTCTAAGCTGAAGCAAAAAAGATTCAGTCAGAATAACGCCCTAGTTGCCCATTTGCCTGTTCCTCAAATTGCAAGCTGAGCATACGCCATGTTTCCTACATGAGTGAGATATGACTTTTTTCAAAGTACACGCGGCGCAGAAGATTTGTGTTGTGATGCTCGCGCGGAAAACATCATTCTAAAGATGAAAAGTCGATATGATGAAAAGGCGTAAAAATTCCGATTGCACAGTAAGCAAAGTCTTCTGCTGCAAGACCGTTCATAACTGATATCGATGGAAGATTACAGCCTTGACGTGGTCCCCTGACGGTGATGGAGACACAGAAAAAGTGGTTTCAAAGTGGCAAGAGGATTTTTTCAAATTTTTTCAGACGATTAAACCTCCCTGTCGGAGGGACGACCAACCGGAAGTTGCTGTGCCATTTGAAAGAAAGAACAAAGTCAAGTCACTGGTATCCTGGAGACAGTTAGCGCGAGTGCAACTCTCAACCGTCGCACTGGAAATCGATTTTTGACGAAAGGGAAAATAAATCACGCACTGGACTAGTGGTCATGAAAAGACTAACGTGGAAACGCTGTTCGTTACGTTCGTGTACCCCTGCAAGAGTAAGCAAAGCTTATGGAGACTTTGCGGTAAGTTCGATGGCTGGACAAAATCAATGACTCACGATGTCGACAGGCAAAAAGCACCAGACGGTGGCTGTGAAAGCCTCAACGCCGCAGTCGACCGCTGACGACCGACCGAAATAAACAACGCCGAGGAGGGAGGTAAGAAAGCTGAAATTTTGTTATGCAAACCAGCGGAAGCAACGACT